ATTCCTCAAAACAAATAACACTCTTAAATTGAAACATTTTTCTTTTACCAAAACATAGCCTAACGTTCACACATTACAAGTAAAATACAACCCACACCTCTAAACCTAACATTCAAATCCCTCCCTAAAACATTAAATAATCAAGAACACATACACACACATATATTATAACAAGAACACCATATATAATATAATATGTACACAAACTAAATAAAAATAAACAAACACTCACAAAAGTTCTTTGTCATAAAAAGCAAGAAGTTGTTTCACATGATTATTCCAAGCCGCCACATTTTGCCCATCAACCGTCACCCAATCAACAACCGTTGATCCCGGTTGTTCCCACCACTCTTCCAACTACGTCACAATTTCATATTTAAATATTTCATTTATTAATTAATTATATAAAAATTTGTAGAAAAATGTTTTTACTTACCAATCCAGGCACATATTTACAATCTTCAAGACTGTTCTGAGCATTCACAACTCCATTCCTTAACTCGGGCAACCACTTTTCCATAACCGTCTTCGCTTGTTTAGAAGCCAAATCTAGACAATAGCTTGTTGTCCTGCAAAAGGAATGGAATCAGAAATTGGAATCGGAATCAAAAGAACGTAGTATAATTCCATATAATTTATCAAACATGGAATTTGAAGGATTCTGATAGAATTAAATTCCGTTTATTTTGCAGAGGAATGGAATTGCATATTCCGATTCTGTCGGAATCACTGATTCCAATTCTGTCGTAATCGTTGATTCTGGTTCCATCTTCAGATATAATTAAAATCCATTTATTTGGCAGCGGAATGGAATCATAGATTCTGATTCCAACAGAATCACTGATTCCGATTCCATCGGAAACACTGATTCCAATTTTGTCGGAATCACTGATTCTCACCTTCAGATAGAATTAAACTCTGTTTATTTGGCATCGGAATGGAATCACATATTCCAATTCCGTCGGAATCACGGATTCCAGTTCCACCCTCATATCTTTCGTATTCTTGTTGATTGTGATAAGCATGGTTTAGCAACGCATGACCACTTTCCACAAGATCCCTCCTAATATGCACCAAATTGATAGCTTTTGCTAAGTTCTCCAAAACACAAGCTTCCGAACCTGATCATATGAAAAAAATCAAGTTTATATTAACTTTGTAAATAAGTAAAAAAAATAACAATTACAAGGACCTTTCTGTAAGACTTTGAAAGATTAGACTTACAGTTATAGCAGTAAGACATACATTAAAGTTGGGTTAAAATTAAAATACAGTGAAAAAAGTAAGTAAGCACCTCCAACTCCAGATAAACCAACAAGGACATGAGGTTTGACCTTTTTGACCTGTAATGTAAAACATCAAAATCTGAGGCCTCCATATAAAATTGAAAGGAACAACACAAGTTTATAGAGATGTCTTAATAAGAAAAAGTTTAGCAAGCACAATGTTGTAACTAACATAAATGAAAGTAGGATGTTAATGTAAACATATAAATGAAAGTGCATTCTTATTTCTTGAACTTAGCTCTCTCTTATTTTAAAAACCTACCACTTCAAGGACATGAGTATTAACAAGACATAAAAATTGAAAGTAGAATGTTAAAAATAAAGGAACAAAAGAAGGTATGTGACTAAAAAAGAGACGTATCACTTCAATTCAAGGAGATGAGCATTGATAAGAAAAAAAGAAATGAAAGTATGATTTTATAATAAACAAATACATAAATGGAAGCACGTTGCATTTAGCAGTTATTTTAGAAAAGATATGTAATGAACACTTGAAGGAGATCGGATCCCTCCCGGAGTCCAATACTTTGAACCTCTCCAATGGTGAAGTTGTTGGGTCAACACCACTTCTCTCTTTTGTGATCAAACCCTGCATCCAAACCAAAATAAAAACATCAAAACTTCATAGATTCCATTCCTTCATATATATATAATATAAATGGTTTTAAAGCTAATAAATAATATATTCAATCCAATATTTTTTAAAATATATTAATAAAACTACCTGCAATTCTTGAAAGATAACTGAGATTGATTCATCTGTAGCAATGGAAGAAAGGATCTCAAGTTTTAGAGATTTGACTTGATATGCATCTGAAGTGTTTATAAAGAAGTCTTCAAAATTTGGAGCAAAAAGAGAAGGCATCACTTTTGTAAAGACTTGAATGTAGAGGACCTGTGTCAGTTGCAGAGGACCAAAGTTTTTTGAATCTTAGAGAAGGGTGAATGCTTAAAAGTGGGACAGATACACCCGAAAGATCAATCTCTCATGGAGAGATTCCTTCTTGATTGCTGTTGCCAACATCTTCATCCCACTTATGGAGAGATTCGTTCTTGATTGTTGTTACCAACATCTTCATCCCACCTCACCTGTTGAAATGGGTTTGAAATTTAAAGAATGAAAGTATAAAATAATAATACTAGTTTCTTTATATGAGGTTGACATGTAAAGTACCATTACGCATCTCCATTTTGATTTAGACCATTTGTAAGGAACTAAGGATCCATGTCACTTATTTCGGTCACATGGATTATCTTCACCTTTGAATTGACTACTCCAAATCCATAATATGTAAGAAATGAATGTCAGGTTGCCTTAAATTAGGAAAGCTAATAAGTAAAAACACTAATTGCATATTCCAAAACGAAGTATGTGTTAGTAGTAACTAATATCCACATTAACGAAATTAAGGAGTATCTCCAATCTAGCTCTGCTATTGCTCATATCAATATGAGTTTTCTGAGGAATCAGAGATGAAAAATTATCCATTGCTTCATCACAGGCCGAGATACTACTGGATTCACTCGATCCACATTTAAAAATCTTCCCAACACCACTTAGTAAAACATTTAGTAACAACTCAAACGTTTATAGAATTTAAATCTCAAACTTGTGAAATTTACAAAGTGTGGGAATGAAAACTCGTCTTGATTTGCAAATTCATCAATTGAATACAAGTACTCAAATTGCACCTGATTGAAATGCGAACAAATGAAGTTTATATATATATATATATATATATATATATATATATATATATATATATATATATATATATATATATATATAGAGAGAGAGAGAGAGAGATTTATTAATTATGAAATCAACTGAGAGAGAGAGAGAATACCTTGTGCCATGTTTGATTAGGCTCTGTCCGAGCTTCTAGAAACGTGGATTAAGAACAGAGTGATACGATCCTGCTAGTGATAGTGGAGGAAACGAAGTAAAAGAAGTGAATATAGGGCACCGGTCACGAATCGATGTAAAAGCAACGAAGGCGATGGCGTGATCTGTCGCGTGTCGGAGATTGGTGAACAATGACGGAAATAGAGATGAAGTGTTTTACGATCTGGTGAGGGTGGACGATGACTGAAACGGCGATGATTGAGATATCGCGCTTCGACGAGTCAATTTTTTGAGCGCATCGACCCTAATCGATCGATGTTTGCTCTTCGTTTGATTTTCGTGGTGTTGACGATTTTGAAAGAACAGGGTAGGGCTTCTAGGAAATAACACCACGGAGGGCAAATTTGAGAAATAAAAAACAAATCAGGACACGTATGTTATTTTGGAGACAAATGTGGTGAGTTAAATCACAAATTTCTTTTATCGATTTTTTCATAATTAGTATATTATTTTAGTTATTTATTGAATATAAAATATTTCCGGGGATCAAGAATAATACCAAGAAAAGATGAAGGGGTACTTTAGGTACTAGAAGTTATACTGAAAAATATTTATGTATATTTTCTTAGTGAAACTGTTAAATAAATTAACTAATAAAAAAATTAATTTAGACATTAAAACATATTGTGTGTCTTTTTTTTTAAACTTTTAGACATTAACGAATAAATTCATGACAAACATTTTTAACTAATGCAAATTATTGGTATTTTACGAAATATGACAGACTTTTTATGACAGACTTTTTTGGGCCTGTCATAAAACTAATGTCCGTCGTAATTTGTCTGTCAAGGAAAGCCCTTTTTCTAGTAGTGAAAAGATCTAGTGAGTCTAGTTATGAATTTATTTCAGTACAATAAAACAAGGTCCTCAAAGATATACTCTATTGACTCTTTCAAGGAATACAAACTGACATCCTTAATAAACTGAAACTGGTTTATGTAGCTCCTAAGTCACTGTTTGTTTCTTTCTCTCTTCCAGATTGAGGAGACCTACAATTTTTGACAAGCCGATCTCTACATGTGATGACTGTAGACAATCAATCTATTGAGTGGCTTGGAAACAATTAGTTTGCTGCTGGGTGGAGGTATGGAAACCGATCATGGGAGCAACAATAATAGATTGACAAACAAAACAATTCTTGTACAGGTTAATTTGAAATCTTCTATTTATATTCATAAATATAAAACTCTAGACTTTATGCATCATCACGACTCATTTTCTTTTCATCTATTATTTGTAGAGAAATTTTTTGGACCATCTACTAATGTTAGGTGTTGAAAGTCAATGGGCACCTGTTGTTGTACGTTGTGCGGTGAGATAACTTCTTCCATGTGCTTTTGATTCATACGTTTTATACTTAAGAAAAAAATAATAAAAAGATATGAAAGTAGGTTGCTATTTGAGATACATACATACATATATAAAAATTATAGCATGTATTACTGATATAACATGGTCAGGCCTTTGAATGCATAGGTGATCTGATTTCTGGACACCAAAAGAATTTTGAATGCATAGGTGATCTAAAAGCTGCACAACAGACAAGAGATGGAGAAGTTTCTAACCTTCGTATAGAACTTTGGGTGATAAATGGTAGTTTTTTATTAAAAATTTGAACTTTTTTAGATTTATGTCTTTTTTTTAATGCTGATTATTTTCTCTCCTCTTATGTTTGTTTGAATTAGAACTTAAAAGAAGATATCTCAGATGTCATGGATCAGCTAAGGGAAGTTGAATATGAAGTCATTGTTACATGTTGTAAAAAATTCGTTTAGTTTATTCTTCACCCTTCTACAAGCCTTTTTAACATGTTGCAGGAACCTAAACCGAAGAAACAGTCCGCTCCTACAGCTAAAATTGGATCGAATCAAAAACCTCTTAGTAAACCTGAAAGTAATTTGGATGAATCTGAATCATCGGATGATAGTGATTCATCAGATGAAGAAGTAAGTCAGAGTTTGTAAATCTCTTGGTACTTGGATACAGTTTGTCTAATTTCACATTAATTTTGTCATTTGTTATCAGCATGCTCTACATGATACATGTTGTTCTCCACTTTTCTAAGTATTCTTCTATGTAATTTAGGAGGCGCCAAAAAAGCTAGCTGCTGTTGCCAAGAATGGTGATGTTGCAGCCACCAAGAAAGCCGAGTGAAGTGATGAGTCTGATTCAGAAGACAGTTCAGATGAAGTAAGAGAGCCTTTTGGTTTTGTGTACAATTTTTTCCGAGTGAAGTGATGAGTCTGTCATAGTTACTTTAACTAAGGTAGCGTGTTTGGTATGCAGTAATCAAAGAGGAAATGGAATGAAGCATTACAATGTAATCTGATTCCTGCAATTGATGCTAATTTCTTATTGTAAGTGTTGTTGCACTCCTCTGTTGATTTCTAAAAGATACTAAAGGGTACAAATGTCTGTTTCATGAATAGGAGTTGTTTCTGTTCTTCTTCTTCTTCTAGTTGTTGCACTCCTCTGTGCATATGAACTATGTGCAGCTTATGTTACAGTTGGTTCAACTGCCCCACAACGGTATTCACCTTCTATGACAATTGAAGATACTCGAGTTTGTGATGAAAAAAGCATGGAGATGGATGTTACCTCGCGTACCAAAGATGAAACAATTGAAGATACTCGAGTTTGAGGTGGAAATCTCTTGAGAAAGAATTATATGTGAAGGGATTAGATATGCCACTGTGCAAAGAGTCAATGCAAAAGCCGACAATGCCCATGTTTTGCTGTTGGCTGTGAATGCGACCCGGGTGTTTGCCGAAATTGCTGGTTCAGGTACAAAAATCAAATTGCACCTTTAATTTCTCTTTCAACCTTTTTTGAACATCCAAGTGTTGTGAATGTTGTTTCTAAATTTCCCCATGTTATCCTTTTCCATGGAACTGCATATTATTTAATACCAGCAGATGCAAGGTTTGATTCCCATATATTTAGTATTTAGTGGATATCTTGACATTAATATATTTGATTTTTTGCAGTATAAGTTTTTTTGAGAGTCTTAAGAGAATTAGTGTAAGATCTGAGTTGAAACTATGCAATGGGAAAAGCCATACAGATTTATTTGTTCAAGTAAGTTGATGTTAACTGTTAATTAAAACTAACTATACTGATTGTTTTTTGAGATTCTTCCAACTGATGAATCTGTGACAGAATGAGGTACTTGATTTCATACATGGTGGTGATGCTGATGCACTTGCTAAGGTTGCTACAGCACCTCCAAGATGCCTCAAGTGAAGATTATAGCTAAAAATTTCATGGACATGGTGTCCTCCTTACCTGCGATGAAGCTCGACAAGCTATACGAGAATGCCTTCATTTGTGAAGCTATTCTCAGGTTATCTCTTTAAGTCCATCAATTTTTTATTGTTAATATATGTTTGATGTTTGATCACTTACACATTGTGTTAACCACATTTTGTTGTTCAGACAGCTTAATGACGAGTTACTGAAACAAGAAGGTGCCCCTTTAGAGCAATGTAGTATTAGGTTATATAGTTAGGGAAAGCCTTTTAATAACAATGTACAATCAGATCCCTTTAATATCAATGTATTACATTTTTTTGACATGATGTTGTTGGATGAAATTCATTGTTTTGGGATATATGTGTTTTTATATTTTTGTATTATGCATAAAAGAGTATCGTAAAGGCACGTCGTATATGCATATAGTAAATGGTTGCTGAAGTTTATGACACGCAAATGCGTGTCATCTTCATTTATGACAGGGGCTTTAATGATACGCAATGCGTGTCCTAAAGGCGCGTCGTAAGGTTACGACACGCAAATGCGTGTCGTCTTCCTTTATGACAGGGCCTTCCTTGATACGCATTATGTGTCGTAAATGAGCGTCGTAAATGCGTGTCGTAAATAGACGACGCGCAAAAGTGTGTCGTCTCTTGTTATGACAGGGCCTTCCTTGACACACATTTGCGTGTCGTCTGAGCATTTTACGACACACATTACGCGTCTTAAAATGTTGTTTTTCTAGTAGTGAAACTCTGAAAAATAATGTTTTGAAATACTTTGACTCATGTTTGGATGGAATGGTTTGATAACTATGGTTTTATTTAATGGTTTAAAATGAAATTTTTGGTCATGAATTTTGGGATGTTACAATTATCCTCCTGGATACAAATTAAATGGTAGAGTTAATTACCGATACAAAAAAATAAAACAATATCTCGTCCGATTATCGAATAAGTACATAAAGTAGATCAAATGTGACTCTCTAGTAACTGTTTGTTTATTGGAACATAAACAACACAAGTTGGCCTTCATAACAATACTAAACAAATGAAAAAAACAACAAATTTAAGTTGAATAATTTTTGTCGTTATGAAAACCAGTAATTGACAACACTTTAGCAACATGTAATTGTCGTAGGATGCTTAATTTGTTGTATATTCCTAGAATTTTTATTTGAATAAACACGAAGGATACATAGCTTAAAATACCAAAGAAAAGAAAACCAAACAACTTGATTAATAAAACTTGTGGGTCTACTTGTTTAATTGCCACAATTTGTAACCACCATATACCACTCAAACGACTTGTTAAAAAGGTTGCTTTGTGTAACGCTCGCAGATTCGGACTAGTCAATTTAGAGACAATAAACGTCAAAAATGACTTTTTGATAGAAAATTATTTAGAATAAATAATCTTAACTAAGTTATAATATATGTCACAAGGGTTCCGTATATATAAAGAACGCTGAAATCCGAGTTATAACGAAGAAGTTATGACCTGTCGAAGTTTTACGGCGAAACCGGCACGACACCGGGAATCGTAAAAAGTGAGTTTGCGATAAAATACTTTTTAGCCTTAAAGATCTAAATGAAATTCGTATTATATGTTAAACCGAGAGCGTACATAAACAGAACGTCCAAATCTCACTCCGTATGAGAAAGTTATGATTTTTCTAAGATTTAGCATAACAATGTACATCCCGAAATTCGAATTTTAGATCGATCGATTTTTAGCCGACACAACCTAAATGAGAATTGAATATCTCATTAATAGGAACTCAACGATATAAAGACAGACGAAAACGGACATCGGATGACAAAGTTATGAATTTTTAACGGACTTTACCTGTCCAAGCTTGTTAAAATATAACTTTAAAAATTACGTCAAAATAGCCGACAGAGTCTGAACGAAAGTTGTAGATCACGTTGCCGCCTATGCGTGGATATAAAGAACAGCAAAAACGGATCTCGTATGCGAAAGTTACGGATTTTAGAAGATAATTAGTTTTTGGAGTAAACTGCCAGTGACACGTAGCACAATCCTGACCATTGTTTCCTCCCCATGTCTTGCCACCAGATGGTGACACTTGGCACTAAACTCGACGAGTTAGAGACTCAGAACTCGTCGAGTTGGGCCATTTCTTAGCCTATAAATACAAGCGCAAATCTTCCATTTCCTTCACACCTTTCCCATTCTTTCTCTTTCAAACGTCTCTCTAAACCCCTCCCAAGCCTTAGTACTTTCCAAGTGCTAAGAGGCGAATCCCAGAGCGCTAGAAGGCTCCGATAAGAAGAGCTTTCGGCTCAAAAGTTCTGCCCCTGCAGAGCCCGGTTCCTAGCCAAACCACCTAGTAGGTGAGTTATGCTTACCCTACTTTTAAGTATAACTTATGTTTAAGTTCAATATCGTTATTATGAACTTATAAACAATATATATATATATATATATATATATATATATATATATATATATTATATAATAGAATATACAAAGTGTGATTATAATATCTTTTAACTACTCGCGGTACGGGGAATCTGGTTTGAAGGGCCGCATAGGGTTGTTGGATTTCAAAAGTGCTATAATGCCAAAATGGTCATGTCCTCCTGTGTTTCATGTCTGAACCCTGTTTGTACATAGTGGTTGAAAAGTATTGTTTAACACTTATAATACGATATCACTCGTAAATAGTCGCAATAAATATTAGACTAAAATCTAGCAGTAATGATACTAGGTTTCGCCGAAGGAAAATAGAATTGTTAAAAGCGAAGCGCTGCCCGAGTTTGGAATCATCACTTTAACAAGTGAGTGCATAGTCTCTTTCATGAACATGAGTTTAATACAAGTATTGATTAAAGTATTAAATGTATGTTTGTGTGTGAAATATTTGATATTGCCTGAAATACGTGTTAAGAGCATATCTAATAATATATGATGATTTAGTATACAGAGTGAACCTAAATTAATTAAGAGGAATATTGCGTAGTACCTCCCTATGAGTACGAGTGAGATATACACGGAGGGTAGAACTTTAAAACTTGCCATTGATCCGAGAGCATGCATTAGCCTTAGTCATTTGTCCTTAGTCCGAGAGTATGGAGAGGACGCAGTTATTAGCCTTAGTCATTTGTCCTTAGTCCGAGAGTATGGAGAGGACGCAGTTATTTGTCATTAATCCGGAAGCATGGGTTAGACATAATCAATTGTCCCTAGTCCGAGAGTATAGAATGGGCGCAGTTATTGATCCGAGAGCATGGATTAGACATAGTAAATTGCTCCTAGTCCGAGAGTATGGAATGTGCATAGTTATTGATCCGAGAGCATGGATTAGACCTACCTGATCCGGGAGTATGGATTAGGTAAAGAGGTAAATTTTAGATCCGAGAGTATAGATTGTGTCGTTGTGAGGGTCGAAGGGGTGGGGTAAAGTTGCTTATATGAGGTGAATTGTATATGTTTTGAGTTCTGAAACATATATATATATATATATATATATATATATATATATATATATATATATATACACACACACACACATATATATATATAGATATATATATATATATATATATATATATATATATATATATATATATATATATATAACATTGTAGGATTGAAATCCATATGTACTCACCAGGTTTCCCAACCTGACCCACTCAGTTTATTTGTATCACAGGTCTCGATATGAAGCTACATTACACTGAGAGATTAAAGGAGATGTAAATCACTAGTGTAAAGGAATCTAAGGTTTGTTTATGCTTATCTTTTTGTATTGACGATGACATCCTAAAGCTTTTATATAAACAAAATACATTTCTTCGGAAATGCTTTGATAATATATTTATCATGTTTTTTGGGAACAAATTCCGCAATATTAATCTTTTAAAAGGATACTCTAATTTTCAAATAAGCATAAATAAAATTTTTAAAATGACCGTGAATTTGGGGATGTCACAGTTGGTATTATAGCATTAGTTTATGCGAACTAGGAATTTGTAGGAAATATCCAGACTTAAAATTAGAATGCTAAGTGATGATCATGAGGAGTGTGTCTATTATATTTTAGGTAGTACACCTGAATTGACACAAGCACTAGCTTACTTTAGGATTAGATGCCTAAATTTCTTTTTTGTGCTAAATGATGATTTATGTTATAGCATTATATGCTTTATAATGCTATTATTTGATCGGATCCATGGTCTATTGCCGACCGGATCTGAAAATTTAATGTGTTCATATTTCTAAACGTTTAATTACAATATTAGAACTGGCATGTAATTTTTTGGAGTAATAAGGAGGATTACACGTCTAAAACTTCTCTATCTATATTCTCGTCCCGATACGCTAAACGCATGCTTCCATGAACATAACGTCGTGGTGAAGACTTGTAGTGAATGGAGTAGACGGAGGAAACGAGGAGGCTTACGATAGTAAATAACACTTATCGGAAGATATCGTACGAGAGGTATCTTGCCTTTAGAATGCGTCTAATAAATAATACGTCTAGTATAGGAGAAGTACACTTTCGATTAAGATAAAGAAAGAACTTTTGGTATAATCCATGAAGTTATCCCATCATCTGGCATTTCCATCACGAACCGAGTTGAAGCAGAATTGATGATTGAAGATACGTATGGAAGAAGTCCTAGTAGAGTCTAGGGAAAATTTTATGATAGTTTGGACACATTTGTATGTGTTAAAATTGTTTTTGTGATAATAACTTGGAGAACTGTGAGACAATACTTGGGACGAGTATGAGTAGGTGTGAAAGGTAGTAGAGGCCTATACTACTAGCAACACAGGACTCGCACTTGGATCAGGGAAAGTCACAAGGTTACCAAGAAACTAGTAATTTATTCCGTTTTGTTCAAGTATGTCGTTACCATCGTTTCGGTAAAAACTAAGAAGATGATTGTTATTCTGACCCTAGTGGTCAAATCAAATTGAGTCCGTCTAAGATACGTACGTTACGTGGTTCAAAGAACTAA